ATATTTGTTGCTCTGTACATACAATTTTGATTTCAAAAAGTCTAAGCGAGGAAAAATATTTCTTGTAAGTTAGAATTTTTTATAAACATTGCATCTAGGACATACATTCAATATAATACTAGACGAATAAATGAAAAAGCAATGCAATACCATATGTGTCAGCATACGTAGAACGTACGTTGCGATATCTTCTATGATATCGGAAAAAAAGGAATCTTTCGTAATGAGGTACGCATCGGCGTAGCATTGTATAAGCTGAGCTTGGTCGTAAAGCATTTTCTCGAAATGAGGAACTTTCCATCGAGCGTCCACAGTGTATCGATGAAATCCCTGAACGATAAAAATAGTTTAAATTATTCAACTATTCCATTTGCGCGTTGTAAGTGAAAACAGAGTCTTACTTTCCCCACGTGATCGTGAAGTCCACCAAAAGACATTTTCCTTAAGGTATTCAGAGATGCATTTAAAGACATCTCAACCAACATAGTAGAGGTACTTAGAACATGCATACTGAGAAGAAAATTTAAGTTGCTCGGTTCGGGAAATTTCGGCGAGTTCGGATTCGTAGCAGATGAGCTACCAAATCCGCCGTATTCTTCATCATATATATTCAATAAGACGTGAGCACACAAGAAAGCGCAGTCAATCGCAGGAACTCCATCGTCCTGTATCACAAAAATCAGTGAATAAAATACAATGTTAAAATAATTTTCAATTCTATTTAAAACTATTTCAAATATTCGCTCACTTTTATGTCGTGTCTGCTCGTGCTTAATTCCTTCAAACGATCTGATACAATAGTGGCGGATTTGACCATTTTGTCTCTTCCTTCTTTCCACTAGAATAAAAGAAAATATTATTTATAAACCTTATTTCGTCTTACAGAGTCAAATATAAACCAAAAATATTTATAACGGATGAAAATATCGTACTATATACCTCCTCCATAATTCGTCTCAAGTATATTGTAAACATGGCACAGCTGAAGTATGTTCCGCCTGTTATTGGCATCAAATCTGGTGTCAGGAAAACATTCAATGGCCAACCGCCATGACCTCTCAATCTCTATCAAATGTAAATATCTTCATTATTATGTTGAGCAGAGTTAATATACAGTTATAAGTAACAAATATTTATAAAGAATATTATGCTTAGTATATTTATTAATTATAATATAATTATATAATATTACACTTAGTACATTTATTAATCAATAAGTAATAAACTATGCATTTTGCTGTTTATTCTCAGATTTCGCATAATGCATAGCAATAAATTTGACACTTGCCTGAATAAACATCATGCACATCATATCGATATCGGGCCTCTCTTCTCTATCTACTTTAATATTTACATAATTCCAGTTCATGATATCTGCAACTTCCTCGTTCTTAAATGATTCCTTCTCCATCACGTGGCACCAGTGGCATGTAGAGTAGCCGATCGACACAAAAATTATTTTGTTTTCCTTCTTTGCCTTTTCCAGAGCTTCATCGCCCCAAGGATACCAGTCTACAGGATTGGTTGCATGTTGCAATAAATATGGCGATCTTTCCAATCTCAAGCGATTTTTCTTTACTTCAGGCTCGCTTTTGCTATCCTGTCGAGATGTTGATGCCATCTTGATGGATGAAAGGAAAGGCGTTTTACTGTTACTCAACCTATTAATTTTTTAAAACATATTTGTCAATAAGAATCTTTAAATTTTAGTTTCTATCAAATATCAGACAATATAATATAAATATAATAATATAAATATAATAATATATAATTGTGTGCATGTGTGCGTATGTAATTACTTTTTAATTTTCTGTTCAATAATAGGAAGTGAAGCACTTTCAGTGAGATGAAAATTCTTATGATATCCGTGTGTTCCTGTACCGCACTGTTTCTTAGATAGCTCAGATATGCAGCGAATTGATAACGAACTGCATCTTCCCGAAATCATAACACGCCTGGCATGGAGAATACACACAGGAAAGTTGATCCTGCACATATAATATAAATATAAACAATCAAATAATTATTAAATAATCCAATAATTATTAAACCGAATAAACAGTATTATAATAATGTTGCTCATTAGACAACCATCTTTCAATAAAAAAAAAAGGTTTGTAGAAGTCAAAATTCTATACATTGCACAAATAAAATTGAAAAATGTATATACATACGTATACATAAACTATATACGTCTGAAATAAATAGTTAAACTTGAGCAATGCATTCTACAGCATCCTACATAAAGAGTGGTCCACTTATTATCTACGATATTATATTTAATTTAGAAAGTAAATTAAATTCAAACGGAAAATTGAATACATCATTAAAAGTGTATTAAAATAAAGATTCAATGAAAAGAGAGTATTTTACGAAATAATGTAGTTCGCAAACTACTGGTAAGCGCTGAGAAGAAGCCATTGTCAAAATTCGCGGGGCACCCGGTATAAAAACAAAAGTAGAAATGGCGTATCTACGTTCTACGAGTGGATATCGCGCGGCGGATCGATATTTGGCAAAAATCACCCAACTGATCGCGGATTCGTAAGCGTCAATCCTTTCAGTGGCAATTAGATAAGAGCGTGCATGCTTGCCCATGCTTGCCGATAATACATTACGTACGGAAACTTGTGAATGTCCGATCCAGCGTAGACTCCCCTCGTCGATTTACGCTGCCAGAGATGGCGCGTCGATTGTCAGATTAATTACTACGCACTTCACAATTCACAACACAACAATCACATGCATGCGTTAAAACTCAACGATGCGCACGTGATCACGTGACCAGGTGCCCTATGACCCGCGGTGGACAAACTAATCGAGCGAACGTTAATTATACGTATAGATAATAAACAAAGTTAGGAAAGATATCTTTTCGTCCCGTTAATGATAATAAAGAGAAATTATATTAATCCTTAATACACGATGATTTTTTTGATCCTTCATTAGACCCGATGAGTATTTGTGTTTAATTTTACATCACTTTATATTATTTATTTACATTATATAATTAATTACATTCGGATAAATTTATAGTTTTTGACGTGTAGATCGCGATTTTTCATTTTAGGCGATTTTATAATAATAAATAACGTGCTCTTGCACTATGAAAATATTATTAAATATCAAGACCTTTAATATGATCTGAATATTTTAAATAAGACGCAATAGAAACATGCAAACGCAGTGCCAATTTGATCGACTTGCATCACGAATGACTGAAAAGGGGGAAGTATCATATTTCCTAAGCTTTGTATTTATATAAGCTCGATACGTTCTCGATAAATTAAATATTTCAAAAATCACTTCAAGTACGAGATGTAAGAAAGTAAAGCTGAAACCGAAGCTGAACGATCTTTTTTTTTATCTGATATAACATCGACGTTTCAATCGGTATTATCCACATCTTGGAACAACAATTATACGTCTTACCACCAACAAGTCAATAAACACTAATAATCTAAAAGGTATATACCATGTATTGCTGCAGCTGTCACGCACTATTTATAGGTTCGTTCGCATTGCATACTCCCAAGAAGACTAGAACCAGGAGAGTCAACTCGGCGTAAAAGCGGTAGTGGGGGTGAGGCAAGAAGTGGAAACGAACGACACCCCCCACTCTTGCGCTTCATCCTCTCTGTTGCTCTACATAGTCGGTTTCAATTCGTGACTGCGCATGTCAACGTACCTTGTTTCTGTTTGATTGAATTTTGAACTAAACATAAACCGTAAAAATTTAATCCGATGTGATTTACGATGCCCAAGCGAGTGTGCTGTGTTCGAAATTGTGACTTCAATCCTGGAGATAAAGAAAATCGAAAAACAATATTCCAATTTTGTGAGGTACTCAGTGAACTACTGAGCATCGTCCCCAAAAGGGTGGGGACGATGCGCAGTGAGCTACTGAGCATCGTCCTCAACAGGGGTTGGGGGTAAGCAGCGGGTGACGCTTTTTGACTCACCCCCACCACGCGAGTTGACTCTCCTGGTTCTAGTCTTCTTGCATACTCCAACGTGTTCCAATCATGGTGTAATAAAGAAGAGATGTGCTCGTAAGGTACAGCAAATTTTGATGCGCATATATGGCGTTGGAACAAGTTTCCAACGTTTCCAAAGTTTCCAATACGTCTTCCGTATTGAAAAATCATAGCAAAGAAAACAAAGAGATTGACGTATCACTTGTAATATGTTTTTGTAAAAAATAGTGGCATGCAGCTTTAAGGTACTTTTTTATGCTGACGCTTGACGCTTATTTTCGGCGTCAAAATAAGTCACGTGATAGACATTGACGAATATCAAGCGTCAATTTTGATCACATGATCTATTTTGACGCTGAAAATGAGCGTCGAGCGTCAGCATGAAAAGGTACCTTTAAGAGATGTAAAAATTAGTGAAAATGCGAAAGTAAAAAATAAAGTTTTTTTCGTTTCCAAAAAATAGTGACATTGCGGTAAAGTGGATGGAAACTTGTGGCAAGGAGATTATATATATAAATAATTTAATAATATTATTATTAACTAGAAGGGATTTATAATAATTATTATTAAATTATTATTAATGGTAATTAATAATAAAAAGTCACAAAAGTAGTGCTCAACAAAATAAAGTTATTAATTGCCATTTACCTTATTTAAATTATACTACATTTTGAGTATCTCAGAAAAAACGCTGATTGGCTGATATATTAATATGACCGGTCACTTGTTACTGAATGCACCCAATAGCTGCGTTCAGCAGACTCAACAGTTTTGCAACCGTTTTATGATTGTCTGCTGAGATAGGACCATTCTTTTAGATCTAAAAGTATGATCCAATCAGCTCGAAGGAAACTTCCAACAGTTGCAAAACGAACGTTCTGCTGAACGCAGCCAATGTTGGAAATTTTCTTGATGCTGATTGGATTACACCTTTAGATCTAAAGGAATAGTCCTATCGCAGCGGAGAAAACTCCAAAAAACTCAACAGTTGCAAAATACATTCTGCTGAACACAGTTATTATCTAGGATTAGTGTTAATTGGAGCTAATTGAAAATTTCTTGCTTTATCATATGAATATACGATTCGTACGAGACAAGTACGGCAGCCCCGAAATAAATTCGATATTTTGTTACCTCATATCTGCCCATATCTCATCGCTCTGTTGGTACTGTAACCTACAGTTATAAGTCGGAAAACCATAGTCTATACTGGAGCACAGAGGCCCCGGAGCAGAATCTCATCGCTCTTGTCGATCTACGTCATCTACGATCTAACCATCTGACACTACCGATACATTCCAAACAATACAAACAATGCGATAGAATTATCAAGCAACACTGTTCGCTCGTCGTTCGTGTAATATCGACAATTTAGCCAGAGAATCTAGCGTAGTGACAAGGAGAATGGCAGCCATACATCGAGAAGCAATACAAAAACAGATTCAACAAGACTGGGCTAATCGCGAATACATAGAAGTTATCACCGGCAGTATTAAAAAGATTACGGACTTTCTTAATTCTTTCGGTAATTTATCATTAAATTCTTATCGTATTCGTAAAAATGCTATTAAATTAATATCTTTAAGCTCTCTTTATTATATCTTTTTTTGTTAGATATGTCTTGTAGGTCAAGAATAGCAGTCCTCAACGAGAAGCTTACAACTCTTGAACGAAGAATAGAATATCTCGAAGCATGCGTAAGTGATTGTTTTTTATTTATTTACATTATGTGATTATAAAAAACAATCTGTTTCTCAGTTTTGTTACTTATAATCTGTCACTTCTCTTGTGGTATTGTTGTATCAAACATATTTTTCTACAGTTTATTTTATATTATTTATTTACATCAGTAGTTTCATAATAGCATTTGTTTCATAGGTTACAAAGGGTGAAACGCTGACGTAATACTTCCACGCACAATACATTCTTTTTACAATCCTTTTTATTTCCTGTACTAGAATCTGAATAAATACATGACAAAAGCGAAATATATGCATTTCGTAACTCTTCGTATCATTAATTATACAATATGACTTATCCCCATTCGATTTATGTATCAGCAAGACTAATTATTCTCTTTCTATACACGAAATATCATTACTCCCAAGATCTAGGTCCTCTGGGATCCTTAATGATGGTCATGTCGAAAGGGAAAGAAGTATATTCTTCTCGAATTTTCGGATGTAATGGCAAGGGTTCGAAACCAGTTAGATCACTGAACTTCTTCGTTGTAGCACATGCAATTATTGCGATTGTCCAACTATGAGTTAATGGACCGTTCTTCTGCCAGCGATAGAAGATTCCACCTGCGGCTAATGCTACAACGAGTAAACATTGAAATTTAATAATTATTCCTGGTGAATATATAGCCGAAATATTTATGTTACATACAGGCTAGAATGTAATTGAAATAGCCGTCTTTTCCTCTAATTTTTGTTGTTGTATACGCTACGGAAGCAAAGGTAGCACACATGGCAGTAACAGGCACCACCCAGTAAGATATGCAATTTATTGTATTCCAGAAGCCTGTTGTCTGAGATAAAATCATAGAATCATACACGCCGAACCCGAAACTACTGATAAATCCATATTTACTTAGCCCGACCACCTTTTCAAATGGCTGTTGGCCCTCTGGGGCATTACTATACCTCCAGTTATTCCAGAAATATGTCATTAACATGATTGAGGCTGAAACAGAGATTGTGAAGAGCAAATATACAATAAAAAATAAAAAGTTGCGTGCCATTGCGAGACAAATAAAAATGTAATTAGAAGAAAATAAAAATTTCTTATGACTATATACAGTTTATACTATTGTACATTTCTGTATCTAGTGAAGAATTTTGTTAGATTTCAAATTTCCGCTATTGATAAATTTTAATATTTTCAGTTTTATTTTAATGATTTTAATATAATATATATTTTAATATACTTTTTTTAAAAAAGCAAATGCAACATAAGACATGCAACATAATCATTGCAATAATGTATTTAAATATGGAAGAGAAAATATCTACACATGAAATGGACACAATTGCAGTATAATCACTGCAGCAATGTACATAAATATGGAAGAAAAAATATCTACACATAGAAACCCATACAGCATTGAAAGTTTTCAGAAATATTTCAACTGAAAAGTGAAACATTTCATAAAAGTTGTGAAATATGTCTGTAACATTTCTGAGACAGTTCTGGAATAGCAAAATGTTCGCGATTCTTGCACATGAAACCTTATTGAAAAATTGATCAAATGTTACAGAAAGAATCTGCAATCTTTTTGAAATATTACCAAAAAGTTTTCACTATTTTTAGTACTTCAAAAATGATATTTAAATATATACTTGATTGATACTTAAATAATATTTAAATTTATTACGTCGACATAATTTCTGAAGCACTTAAAATTTATTAGGAGTTTTGTAATCTGTTTACAGATTACAAACTTGTTAAAATAAACTTAAAGTATTTTTCAAAAAAATGGTAATTATATCGACATTTTGATTAATTAATCACATTATATGTATAAGCACATATACGTAATCACTATTAGAAAGATAGAAAGTCACTTACACCTGCAGTTTCCACACAATATCATTATTCATATGTTTTTCACAATTAAAGTAGAACGACTCACGATAACAATAAAATAACATTGAACTGAATCATGATTGATAAAAAAATGACTTTTAGTAAACATTTTGGAGCCATTTTAACATCATGATGATTTTTTGTACCGTTTAAATGTTTTTCAATTTATTGTATATGATAGATTATAGAAACATTTCTGTTAAAACATTTCATATAACATATTGCAGAATCCATTCAGAATTGTTGCACAGAGGATGTGAAAGGTTGAAACATTTCTGAAAATTTTCCGCAACAATCGGTGCTGTATGGGAATAGACACAATTGTAATGTCATGACAACAGTTATTAGGTAACAATTAAAATCATTTGTTCTCAAGTGATGACACGTGAACTACATATAAGTCGACAATAGCATACTCCGATTTTATGCAAACGGAAAAAGAGACATCAAGTGTCGATCGAGATATTCTAGTTAAAGTTATGACATAACTCTGACGTCGATGGTTATATTTTTTTATATATACACACCGCGAATAAGTCAAGTCTCGTCGATTCAATTCGCCATAAAACAGACAGTGGCACGTCGGCCAGGTTATGTCAGATCGTAATCGGAAAATGTTTCAAATGCGAATGTATCGTATGTATGTGCTATCACTGTTATCGTGTAATCACGTATAATGTTCGTATTTCAAAAATACACTTGACTGCTACAAGTAAAAAGCTATGATAAAAAGACTTAAGGTAGCTTTTCATGCTGACGCTCGACGCTCATTTTCGGCGACAAAATAAGTCACTTGATATGCTGGATTCACCCTGCATCCGATTTTCGTCGTACGACGCTCTGCAACCAATGGCTGCGTTCAGCAGACTCAACAGTTTTGCAACCGTTTTATGATTTCTGCTGAGATAGGACCATTCTTCTAGATCTAAAAGTATGATCCAATTAGCGCGAAGGAAACTTCCAACAGTTGCAAAACGAACGTTCTGCTGAACGCAGCCAATGAGAAAACAGGATTCCGATGAATTTTGCTTCGTATTATCGGAATCCTGTTTTCTGATTGGTTGCAGGGTGAATCCAGCAATTGACGAATATCAAGCGCCAATTTTGATTATGTGATCCTTTTTATCGCTGGAACGTTCCGTTTGAACAATTCATGAAAATGTGCTTTAACGCTGAATCATTCTTTTTTAAAGAACCGACCAATCAGACGTCTTTACATTTCTGTTTTTCGCATGCTTGCCAACTACAAAATTGAAATTAATTGACATTCTTTGCGAAGAACGAGGATTGAAATAGCTTGAAGGACGGTGTTCATGGTTCAAAGAACATTTAAATCTCCGTACATATCATAATTGTTTAATTACAATTATTTATAAATCGTTGCAAAATGTTGCGCGTCATTGCGAAACGAGTACAGGTGTGTATTCAGAAACGCTAGTCACGACTCGTGTTTCATTAAAATCGTGTAGTTTGTAAGTCCTTAACCTGCCCTACTTTACAATAACATTGTTGTTGTTTTCAGGGTGTAACCATTACTTCTTTACGGACATTTAGCGCACAGGATTCGAGTACCAGTTCATCTACAGCGAATACCAACGTGCCAGGTCTCAGCAATAATGTTGTCAAAGTACCAAGCACACGTAAGAATAAACATCAGTGTTACTCTACGGAACATTTTTGCTAAGACAAATTTCAGTTTGAACTGAAAATTTCTTCAGCTGTAGGACCTAACGCTTCCAAGGATAAGGAATACAAAAATCCCGAGTACTTTTGCTATCATGTAGACTCGTTCGGGGAAGCCGAAATGGAATTGGCAAAGTACAGGTTGCCGGCACCATCTAATAGGAGATCATTTAATAAATAAACGATAGAACAAAAGCTTACTGATAGTAGGAACGAAATAATAAATTTAATAAGTTTAAAAAATATACAAGAGATGGCGAGCTGTGTGTACAAAACTGTGTTACATATTAATTAAGAAAAATGTTTGATGTATCTGTGTGATCCCCCTTGTCGTTTTCATTTTATCCCTGAGAACGGGAATACTTTGTGTTGAATGTTATCGTATAATTGCCACTTATAAAACAGACACAAATGGCATTGCATAAAATTTTCTGCGTTCTTTAAATCCTCAGAAAAAGAGATGGAAGGGATACTCGCACTAAAGAAGAGCCACTGCTGATTGTACGTGGTTGGCAGATAGCTCCTTTTTGTATGATTATCTTTTCTATTCCCTTGACGGAACTGCGTCTCAATTCTAACATCACTGGAATGTCTATTTATATGAAAATTCCAGATAGATCCAGAATCCACGGACCTGATCGAACTGATTGGTCAAGTCCGATCTGGTCCGACCCGTCAGTTCCCCTCCTTGCTTCTTATCGATAATCATAGCTAACTGACTTGTAGAACTAGAAATGTGCCAACCATACAACTGTTAGGTCCGTGACATAATAAGCACACATAACGATGATGCCGGCGTGTCACGCCATAGTCGCCAGACTATATAAAGTCGACCAACCCGGTTCTTGTCGCATAAAAGTACAACGCGCTCGCGCGACAAAGTCAGAGTTCGACGACGAAGACACCAAAACACTTCCTTCAGTCGCTCGGCTGACGTCAATCTATTTACTCATCATTTTTTCTGTATTTTACTTTGTTTTCCCCCCTTTTGCTCTCGTTTTCCCTCCCCTGTCCGTGTCGACGGACCGACCGTCAACGAACGAAATCCCGACTCCCGACTCGGGAGTCCCGAGTCCGGCCGGTGAGTGCTCGACTCGGAGAAGGAGTGCTAGTTGCTAGACGCCAGTGAGTACTGAGTACTGGATTCCACACGTTCGCGACGGGTTCCTCGCCGATGTGAATTGACGTGAATCCATCTTCGGATCGAGAGGTCGGCGTTCGTTCTCTTGCATTTCCTCCGTGCCGTTTGCGCACCCGCGCAAAATACGCGAGTGTGCTCCAGCAATTCGGGCATGTCGTCCGTTGTACGGAATCGGTTCCTGTCGGCGCTCGGCGTCGCGCGACGTCTCGTCGCCCCCGTCGACCACGCGCACGTAACACACATGGGTGTCCGCCCCGGTAATGCGGCGTGCAGGAGGTGAGACGAGATAAGAAGCGTATTATTAAATTACTTCCGTGATGATTGCTCTGCGACAAGAATATTTTTGAATTTCCCCAGTAGAATTTTTTTTTTATTTTCGAAGAAGGTTTATACTCTTTGAGTAAAAAATGGTAAATCTAACGAACATGGATAAAAAAGTATGATTATTTGTGTGTCCAGATGATTCACAGTTAAAGCCCGTAGATAAAATAAAAACAACGTGACGAGTTTTAGGAAGATAAAGAATCCGTGAAACACGGAGAAAGAGAACTTTCTTGTGTATATATACAGACGAGAATGAGAAATATAATTGCTGAACAGTTCTGATAAATTCTTTCTTTTCTTCAGCTATGATTTAGAAGAATCGCCCATTGTATCTTCTAATTCGAAATGTTTTCATGTCAATACTTTGCGAGTTGTGTCTGACTAACAAGCGCATCGCATAATTTTTGCGGTCTACATCACCCTTAAAGAGCCCCTTTCTCCCAGACAGCACAAAATACTAAAAGATAATGAAAAGATGCCTATAAGACATTTTTTACGTCTTATAGGCATATCTTTTCATTATCTTTTAGTATTTTGTATTGTCTGGGCTCTTTGTCTTATAATATTTCTTTTACCACTGTTTCTTCAAATTTATTCTTAATTACTCTCTAAATTTTTAGAATAAATCTCTGAAAAATCAGTCTGAAAATCTACTCTTTTAAAGATTGAAAAGTACTCTTAAAGATTAAGAAATGAGTCACTCTTTTTCAAGCTCAATTTTCATTCTTTAAAGATTCCACTCAAAGATTCTACTTAAAAAAATTTAGAAAGTAGAAACAGTTCCTCGAAATGATGTCACTTCGACGTCGTTAAAATTGAAAAGTTGTCGATTCGAAAATTTTAGCGAAATTTTAACATTTTCGAATAACAAAAAATTGCGTATATAATAGGAGTTGATACAGTTTTTAATATTTTGGTGTATATACACACATTTATATATACGTATATTTATATATATATTTTACATACATATATTGTATATATATGTAATATATATATAATCTTATATTCTCTCTCTCTCTCTCTCTCTCTCTCTCTGAAAATTTTCATTCAAAGACTGAATCAACATTCTTTCGATCTCATTTCGACTTTCAATTCGAAAAGTAATCAAAACTGTAGTAAAAAAAATCTATCAAAATCAAGAAAAACGTTGAAAATTTTTATCAAAACGTATTTTCAAGAAACTATTGATTGGGAAATTAATTAAGAATTACGAAAAGGTAGTAAGTTTCATAGAAAGTCGATAAAGCCATAAGTATTCGATAGTCTCACATTTCTTTCCGATTAAAGTCTAATCTATAAATACTTTAGAATTGTTATCGATTTTATCAGAAGAATCTTTCACGAGAGAACGTGATTTCGGCTTTTGTAGTGAGATCGAAAAGAATAATCGGTCAACACATATCTTATCATTTAGTATTTCGATGTATGTAGTTGTCATGCAAATCATTCACGATAAAAAAAGAATCAATTAACATGCGTTTTCTTTTATATTTCTCTCTCTACCTCTCATTTGCGAGAAAACACGTTCCGCTAAACGGAGGTCGTTTTAAACGTGAATGTTTAATGAACACCTTTACACTTGCGCGTTGATCCTTGTTGATTTTTCAAGACACGAATGCAATTGTTACGTGCAGCCGTACGAAGACGAACTATTATCGGGCGATCCGTAAAGATCGGTAAAGCGAAACGTTTCAGCTCTACAAAGCTAGCAAGACCAAATCAGCAGAATGAAATCGGACTTATCGAAATTTTTAGTATACATTTTGTACTAAATTGTACTATTAATGATAATGTTGTACCGTGTGCCATTTTGAAAAAAAATCGTAGCGGTGCTAGCTTAATATTAAGCTGACAGGACCAATTCAAAATAAAAGAAAAATAATATCAGAAATCAACTTTTCAGAAAATTTTGCATTTTTTTGTACGACTAATGGTTTCGACGATAATAATGTAAATGTTCGCATGAGTGACGCTTTTTATGAATTTCTGCAACTTACAAGTCAATAACTTAAAAAAAAAATCTCACACTTTTTCGCGAAACACGTGTATCATATTTTTATTTGTAGAATATGTTAACAAATTTAAAAAAAAAAATAAAATGATGTTTTAAAAGTGCTCGGTTTGACGTGAAATGTCTCATAGATTGTAAATATATACTAATAAAGTCATTGTAAGGAGAAAACATGTAAAATATTAACTTACTTTCAATGGTACAAATTAGTACAAATTCAGTTGTGTTAATTTTTGCCTTATGTTGTTTTTTTTTATAGTCTTGTCAGCTTAAATATTAATTAGCAGTGCCACTGTTTTGTTGGAAATAACACATAATATTTATAGAATTGTTTTGACAGTACAAAATAATACAAATTCAACCTTATTGATTTCTGGTATTATTTTTTATTTTTTCTTTTATTTTGAATTGGTCCTGCTAGCTTAATATTAAGCTAGCACCGTCATGATTTTTTTTTAAATGGCACACGGTACAAAATTATCATTAATAGTACAATTTAGTATAATATGAGTACTAAAAATTCCGATAAGTTCGATTTTATTCTGCTGATTTGGTCTTGCTGGCTTTATAGAGCTAAACGATTCCCTGGCTGCGAAGGAATTTAGATTTTAGAAATTCTGTTTCTCTACATTTTTTTCTACTTTCACGTATTATTTATCGAAGCCTCAGGCAATCGATTTGAATCATTTTTCCTTATAGCCGGCTAATTAAAATTTATTCGTTTGTTTACAATTAAGGCATATTCAATTGAATTTAATTGGCTTTGTTAGAACTTTTCTTAAAAATGCACATTTTCCGAGATATAATATTAGATTCCAGAAATAGTTTCCATGTTTTTGGTATATTTTTAAATGCTCATTACTCGGCTTCTAAGGCCAGAATCAGACTACGCATTGAAGATTGAGGTTGAAAATTGAAAATTGAAATTTGACCAATAAGAACAAAAAATTTGGCTCCTTTTGTTTTGATTGGTCAAATTTTAATTTTTCAATCTTCAATCTCAATCTTGAATGCGTAGTCTGATTCCGGTCTAAGGCCCATTAGCGGGAACGGCTTTACAGGTGTTCATTTGGTAGGTCTCTAACATCGCCGCAAATTTGATCAAAATCGGTGAAGAGCAGAGCGTGTAACCTCTCCTTATCAGTATAAAGATGCACACGTATAAATTTCTAATAAAAAAGCCTCATGATTCACGGTGATGATAACGACAGTTTGAATTATAAAATCTCAAAGCTATTTTTGTATTACATTTCGCAAGATACGCTGAATATTCTCATACATCGTAATCAAGATCGTAATGCATTTTGTTAGATCATTGATAAAGTTGTTTACTCGACGCTGTTCCATGCCTACAGCCTACCAGAAACTACGTGCGTGATTCGCAACGTATGCTCGTATGCCATTTATCACGTGGTTATCACGTGGAACGTCGATGCCGGATTGATAAATCTAATTGATTTCAGTTTACCTTTTTCTTTTAAAATGTTCACTTTTATTAGCGCTTTTTGTCATATACCGAGAAATTAGCAAAGGCTCTATTGACACTACCGATTATCGCTCCGGCCGCAGACTTATTTCCGAATATTTGAAAGAACAATATGTTTTTTATTCACAAGAGCTTCGACGAAGTACACTATATCTTGAAAATCCTCACATGATTCAATATAAGTATTTAAAATGTTTCACTTTGCGAAAATTCTGGCCATGAAATTTCCTCCAAGGACAAATCAATTCTACATTCGACAAACGCATGACTTAAATTGTCGGCTATCAATCTTTAATTTAATAATTGTACAATTAATATCGTACTACCGCATATAATATTATCGTTTTATTTAAAATATACTGTGTATGCAGCCTGTAATAACTTGTAACACCTGCTTGAAGTTAGAACGTAGCTCAAATAAATAGCAGATGCAAATGAACTTGATTTTATGTATGCG